AGTGCTTGTGAAAAGCCACATAAACAAATTACATCTGCACACAATGAAAAATCAATTGCAAAGTGTCCTTGGGCCAGCTGTTGAAACTTTACTAATTGGTGAGAATGGAGAAGTTTCATTCTCATAACCCAGAACCTATTCCTGTGACTGTCATATACAGTAGTTAATTGATTTGCATAAGCCCTGTGTAGGGTATCCTGAAGTTTGTTTCACTATATTCATTTCCAGTTGTGCTATGGAAAAAATATTTGCACTGGGTAAAATATTCAGTGATGATTAGAAAGGAGCAAATGGGGGAGGGGGTTTGCCTCTCCCTGCACTGTCCAAAATGATAACCACTAGCCACATTAAGCTATTTAAAATAATTAAAATTAAATACAATTAAAATTTTAGTTTCTAGACACATTTCAAGTGCACAGTGTGGCTAGTGACTACTATACTAGAACAGCATAATAGAGAACTTTTCCATCATCACACAAAATTCTATTGGACAGCATTGTTTTAGAAAATGAAAAACATATCATTTCCCCACAATCACACACAGAATTACAGCCCAAAGAGCTCTGACAGGAATTAGCATTGTATTATTTGAGGTTTGCATTTATACATAATTTCATCTTCGGCAATATTGAGCAGTATGTTGTAGCTGTTAAATGCTAGAGCTCTGGGGTAGAGTAGTCCTGCATTTCCAGTTTAGCTCCAACTTTTACTAAATTGTGTGAACTTAGGCAGGTTCCTTCAATTCTCTGTACCTGTATTCTCATTTTTAAAAAGGTCTGATCTGGAGGATAATAGTACCTACATCTCAGGGTTGTTGTGAAGTATTAAACGAGATAAGACCAATATCTGACACATGTGATCTATAAATGTGAGCTATTCTTAGAATTATTCTGTAAGTCTTGAAAATTAACTAGGCTTGTTCTACAACCTAGAATCTAGGTAACCAGTAGAAAAGGCAACAGGGAATATTCAATTGTATAAGCAGCAAAGGAGTCAGTCACTAACAGCCCCCCTCCCCGCTTTGACTCTCAATAGGTAAAACAGCAACCAGGCTGTTACTCCAAGACTTGGGGCTAGAGACAAAAGACAAGTGGGCTTCTCCCTTAGAGATCTATTTGCCTAGTTGCTTTCAAAAAGTCAAGGGGTACCTCACCCTTGAACTTAAGGATCTCAGAATTGAAAGTTAACCACTGTGTCATATCAAATAAAATAAAAGCACAACACTCTGTCTATAAAAGATTACCCAAACAAGTCACTCAGTAGGAGAGGCACTTGGAGTTGTTTTTCTAGCTGTTACTAATAATCAAGCCTAATTTCTTGATGTAATATTATGGTGAAATGTTACTATACCCAATCTTTTGTGAATACCATACAATAAGGCCTGCTGAATCTCTGTAATCAACTGGATAAATATTTATTGAACACCTACTACATACAAAACACTTTTGTTCTACACCAATCATCAGTAAACTACAGCTGGCAGGAAAAATTAAGTCCATTTTGTGTTTTTTGTATGGTATGTAAGGTAGGAATGACTTTTGCATTTTTAAACTGTTGGAAGAACCGCCCTCAACAACTATTATCAAACACTGAATGCCTCTGGAAATTAGCTTCTGCTGCAGACTTCATAATGTTTCTTAATTAATTCAACCTAAAATTATAAGGCAAAACAGCACTTACATGTGAAACTTATACTATAGGAAAGTCATTTTGACAACTAACATTGTTTGAATCACAAGTGATGACAACATGCTTTATACACTTCCCATGCTGTCACAAGTCAAAGCAACAAAATCACAATGAGATATCACTTCGTACCCACTAGAATGGCTATAATAAAAAAGACAGACATTAACAAGTGTTGGTAGAGAAGTGGAAAAATTCAAACCCTCATACATTGCTGGTGGGAGGGGAAAATGGTACAGTCACTTTGGTAAGGAATCTGCCAGTTCCTCACAACATAAAGCCCAGAGTTACCATATGGCCTAGCAATTCCACTCCTAGATATGTACTAAGAGAAATGAAAACATATGCCTACACAGAAACTTGTACATGAATTTTACAGCAGCATTATTCATAATAAATAAAAGATAGAAACCACCCAAGCGCCCATCAATTGATGAATGGGTAAATAAAATATAGTATAGCTATCCATTGGAATAGTATTCAGCCATAAAAAGGAACAAAATATTGATACACACTAAAATTTATATAAACTTGCCCTGTCTGGTATGACTCAGTTGGTTGGAGCATTGTCCCGTACACCAAGAGGTGATTCCTGACCAGGGCACATACCCAGTTTTCTTGTTCTATCCCTGGCCAGAGTGCATGTGGGAGGCAACCGATATTTCTCTCTCACATCAATGTTTCTCTCTCTGTCTGTCTCTCTTCCTCTCTCTAAAAATCATTTAAAAAATTAAAAATAAATTAATTAAATTAAATTAAATGTAAACTTCAAAAACAATACACTAACTGAAAGAAGCCAGAAACAAAAGACCACATATCGTATCATTCTATTTATATTAAAGCCAAGAAAATGAAAATCCATAGAGACAGAAAATAGATGAGTAGTTGCCTAGGGCTGGGAGTAGAAATGGGGAGTGACTGAAAAAGGACATGAGGTTTCCTTCTGGGGTGATAGAAATGTTTTAAATAAATTGTGGTGATGGCAACACAACTCTAAAATATACTAACAGTCATTAAATTGCACACTTGTAAAAAATATACAACACCAAAGCATGGTCCATAAAAGAAAAAAATGATAAATTGGACCCCATCAAAATTCAAACCCTTTGCACTTCAAAAGTTACCATTAAGAAAACGAAAAGACAAGCAACAGACTGAGAGAAAATGTCTACATTTCATATATCTGACAGGGACTTATATCCAGAATACATAAATACTTCTTACAACTCAACAATAAAAAGACAATAAATACAACAACTCAATTTGAAAATGGAAAAAATATATGAACAGATACTGCACTGAAGAGGATATACAAATGGCTAATAAGCACACAAAAAGATGCTCATTAATCATTAAAGAAATACAAACGAAAACCACAATGAGATATCATTTCACACACATTTAGAATGGCTATCTATAATAAAAAGACAGATGATAAGAAATGTTGGTGAGGATGTGTAGAAACAGACATCTTCATACATTGCTGGTAGAAATACAAAATAGTGGTGGCGGTTAGGAAAACAGTTTTGCAATTTTTTTAAAAGTTAAGCATAAATTTGCCATATGATCCAGTAATTCCAGCCTTAGGCATATATCAAAGAGAAATGAAAACATATGTCCACATGAAGACTTGCACACAAATGCACTTAGCAGCATTATTCACAATAGCCCAAAATTGGAAACAACTTGCATGTCTATCGACTAGTGAGTAGATAGACAAAATGTGTTATATCCATAAAATGGAATACTATTTTGCAATAAAAAGCAAAGAAGTACTGATACATGCTACAATATGGATGAACCTAAAAAATATACTAAGTGAATGAAGCCAGGCAAAAAAATACCATATATTGTATTATTTCATTTAGATGAAATGTCCAGAATAGGCAAATGTATAGAGCCAGAAAGAAGATTACTGGTTACCTGGGGTTGGGAGTGCAGTGAGGATTAACTATAAATGAGCATGAAGGATCTTAAGGGGGGAGTGAAAATGTTCTAAAACTGATTATGGTGATGGCTGAGCCACTCTGTAAAGTTACTAAAAATAATTTAAGTGTACACTTGAAATGGATGAATTTTATGATATGTAAAATGTATCGCAATAAAGCTGTTAAAAATAGAAAAAGAACAGTAAGGAAAATGAGTGAGTGGTACACAGGAACTCTGCACTATCTTTGAAACTTTTCTACAAATCTAAAGTTATTCTGAAATTTAAAAGTATTTAAAAATTAACAAGAATATGTTTCTGGATTGATATCAGTATTTGGCAGTCCCTACCTGTGTGAAAAGACATATACAAAATGAAATAGGTAAAATATCGTTACAGATCAGCATTAATAGATGAACATTTGGAACAATTTTGATAATAGGGAACACTGTGAGTCCCAATTAAACAAAATGTTAGCCCCCCCCCCCCCAAAAAAAGCAATTCCATTATTCACACTGGTAGTCCTGTATTACAAAAAAGTGCTCTGTTATTACTATCATATTTTGAAATTCATCAATATACATTTGTTAAAATTTGTTTTCTCTCTTGTTATATAAGTACCTACAAGTTATCCCGGATTTTGCCTTTTGGCCTGCAAAGCCTAAAATATTTACTATCTGGCTGTTTACAGAAAGTTTGCCGAACCCTGTTCTACACCATAACAAGATAAATATAACATAATCAGTCTCTTTCTTGAGTGTATTCTTATCATTAACTACTTTTGGCATACTGCTCTTCTGGATATGCACTATAAAGAATAAGACTTGCATCTCTTCTGCTATGGCTCTCTTTGGGATTTCCATAAACAGAAACACTATTAGCTTAATAGTTCTAGCAAAGCCTCGATGTCATCGTTATAACCACAATATTAAAGGGCCAACACCATACCACAGTATCAAGATGACCCTCATCAAGTCGTGATGTTACCAGGCCATGAACTCACCGAGGGCTCCTATGGCATCACACCCTGCCTTTGGCATCACCCTGGCACATCACGTTACTATGGTGCCAAATGCTATCAATGCTATGACAGAATTCTGTCCTGATGCCTCTCCGCCGAGATGTCAAAATAAGTAATCCCTACTTTCCACTCCTGTGCCGGCGGCAGGGAGGGGGAGGGTAGCCATAGCCACCAGTAAGGGCTCAGGAGATAGTACTCAGCTCCTGTTGTCCCTTCCGCCTGCCACTGCAGGTCAGGCCCCCAGTGGGATAGGACCTCTAGGCTCCCATAACTCTCTTGCCATGATTCCGCACCCCTTTCGCGTGGCCGACTCAATGCCCCTCAGCGACCACCCACCCCGGTTCCACACCAAGCGGGTCCCAGTACCTGACTCCATTCTCCAGCTGTCATCCTGGGCCAATTCCACTGGCCACTTGACTGAGGTGGCCGCGAGGGACCCTGGGACTTGTAGTTCCGAGCTACTAGGGGCCGAGTCGTTAGATGGTCTCAAAGGCGCTTCCCAGCAGGGAAGTGAGCTCAAACTGCAACTCCCAGGGGCGCCCTGCGATGGGGACAGGAACAACGGAACGAGGAAGGTCGGTGATTGGTGGGCTTCTGTGGGTTCTTTTGATTGGCAGTCGGAGCCAGCAGCGTAAGGTCGTTGGTCCTGCTGCTGGGAGATCCTGGGAAAGCGAAATGGAGGGATTTGTGTCTAACCTGATGGTCTGCAATCTGGCCTACAGCGGAAAGCTGCAGGAGTTGAAGGAGGAGATCCTGGCCGATAAGTCCCTGGCTACTAGAACTGACCAGGTAAAGCAGTGCCGGGGCCTCTTCGCTGGCGGCAGTGGTGACGTAGGCCAACGTGGCTGCCTGGCGCGGCCCAGGCGGAGGCAGGTTCCCTGAGGGCCAGATCCCCGCCCCTGTCTCCCCATTCTCACCCCGGATCACTTAGGGACTCAGAATCGGGCGGCTGGAGCTTGTGCCGCAAACCTCAGATTTTCTTTTTCTTTCTTTCTTTTTTTCTTTTTCTTTCTTTCTTTCTTTCTTTCTTTCTTTCTTTCTTTCTTTCTTTCTTTCTTTCTTTCTTTTCTTTCTTTTCTTTCTTTCTTTCTTTCTTCTGTCTTTCTTTTCTTTCTTTCTCTTCTTTCTTTCTTTCTCTTCTTTCTTTCTTCTTTCTTTCTTTCTTTCTTTCTTTCTTTCTTTCTTTCTTTCTTTCTTTCTTTCTTTCTTTCTTTCTTTCTTTCTTTTCCTTC